AATGAATAACTTTTAAATTTAACTTGTATCTTCAAATATCTAGGAAGCAGAAAGAAGATATTTTTAAATTAGAAAAAAGATTGCTAATGTAAAGGCATGTCTTTCATCCTTTAATTTGGAAGGATGTTTGGTTTTCTATGATCTGAGATCAGTCAAAAAAAAAAAAAAGCCAAATAGTTTTGATTATAGCCATTCGGTGTAAATAAAAGAAATGTACTTTCAAGTGAAGTCAAGATTTTACAAGCATAACTTGCAGACATTTTAAGATGTCAGAGGAACTGTGGGCCACATTTTCATTGAATTTAACAATTACTTTTTGGTTTATGAGGACAGGTTTTTACTTAGAAAAAACAAAAGGTACTATTTCAGAAGTGACCTGTGCAAACTTTTTGGCAGTTTATAAAATAGCACTAATCTATGATTTTTCCCATGTTATAGTTCATGTCTCTATATATTGATCACCTGAACAATATATATAGATGACTTAATCATTTGAAATTATATGAAACAAATCAGAAAGAAGCACGAGATCAGTGTATATTAAACCAAAGAGGAAACTGTTATTTAAGAAATATGACTATAGTATGTTAAATTTAATATACATTTAAAATGGAAAATTGGATGTAAGGGAATATTCACAAAATCTAAATCTTAGGTCAAATGTGCAAGAAGGCAGTTACATCAGCATATAAGAAGAATAAATACATACTGTTAATTCAGCTATCAGAAATAAAAATTTATTCTGCTTGAATCTGTAAATCTGTTTTTCCTAGACAGATTCATATTATCCTTTATATTTACCCATCAGTTTCTACAACCAAACTCTGAGAAATGTCAGAACAATAAGGATCTCCAGCAGCCACAAGATCCTCCTACACAGACCCTAATTCACCAATGGTTGATACTTTCCTTCAGGAACAGGTAGCAGTCGGTCACCACGAGATGTCCAACATCCTGCCAGACACTAGGGGGACAATAGTAAACAAAATAGGCATGGTTCGTACTCTGCCTAGCTACAGTGCAGAGAGAAAGAAGCCTTAAAGAAGAACCTATAAATGCACATCGAGCTATTGTGGAGAAGTGAAATGTGTGGTAAGAACCTCTAAGAGGCTTAACTAGACCCAGGAGGCAGGGAGGTCCTGCTAGGGCAGGTGTGGAGTCTAGGAAGCATGGATGGAAGCAGTACCCCCGAAGATGAGACTTAAAGGTTGGGTAAGTAAAGGCATGGAAGAGGGGAAAATGTCCCAGGTGCGGGGAGGCAGATGTGAGTTTTTCAGGGGGGAAAAGAAAAGCCGGTATGTTAGAAGTGCAGAGAATGAGGAGGAAGATGAGATTAGGTGTAAAGGATAAGGAAGGAAAATGTCAAGCTCCACACTTCCCTCAGTATATATTAAGGAGGATACTGGATTGGACAAATGAGGGCACCCAAGGGAGGGCACACTGGAAGGAGACAGTTTTGCAGGGGTGGGGGTGGAGTATCCTTTTGGTTTTGTGCACCTACCTTGACTTCCTTGTGTGACAGCCAAATCAAAGCTGGATATTTTGTGGAGCTCTTAAAGATATCTGAATGGGCTGAATAGATATTTTTAAAAGTTGTCAATGTATATGTAATCTATTTAGGTGGATGCTGTTACTTAGGGAGAGAGAATAAAAAGACTAGGACTTAGCTAAAGAACGCCAAGTCCTAGCTGCATACATTATGTGGAAGTGCTTTTGTGTGTATGTGGGTACAGAAGGGGTTTCGGAAGATATTTATGGACTAGTCCAAAAAACTGCTCAATGTGATCTCTGACTACTCTATATATTCAAAAGATTTTACAAAAAGCTTAAAAGTAAGATCAATTTTTCAAACTCTAACACAAATCATAATATATAAATTTATAAGGCTCAAGATATGAGAGAGTTAATCACCATACAGTTCAGCTCCTGAAACAATTTACTATTTGTTTTTAAATTTTGAATGTTTATTTTACATTCATAATAGCTCCTCCAAACTCATGAATTTTGAATTAGATATTAGAAGTATCAACAATGAAGAATTTATCCCTGTATAGAATGAGTTGATTTACCCTACTTTCAAGATATGTAATCTATTCAGGGCCTCTTTGCTCAGGAATATTTTCTAAACTGTTTTTTGGTTTCCGCTTCCCCTCCTCTATAGTTTTATACAAATGGTGGTACTAAATGACAATGAGGCAACATTTAGTCTAACCTGAGTTGCTTATAGGAGGTTATTACTTGGTACTTAAGCAGTATTTAAGTGCCTGAGACTGCTAGGTGACTAAATTTCAGGCCAACCACTCCATTTATTTACTGCCAAAATATTAAAAATAAATAAATACATGACAAGCATAAAGAAATGTGGGTTTCCTTTGTCTGTCCTAATTGAGTTGAGTTTATTTTGGGATAGAGAATAATTTCAGTTATGGTTGGATTGAAAATAAGAAAGAATATAAAGACTATGATAACACCTGGGCTTGCGGACATAGAGAGAGAGAGTGAAGGGAGCAGCAAGAGGCTGTGTTTGTGTCATTCTTGAACTGTGAAGCAGCAGGTGCTCATGGCTCCCAAAATGCTCGACATAGGCCATTTCACAAGTTAATAATGAGTTCTGGTTCCTTCTTCGTTGCCTTTCTCATTCTTGTGGTTAGACACAGAATTTAACTAAAGACAGTGTTTTTCCTTTTATTTCTTTTGTTCACAGTTAATTTTGTTCTGTTATCTTCCAAATGTATAAATTTAGTTTCTCAAAAAAAAAAAAAAAAAAAAAGTTCAAAGGGCTAAATAAGCTTATTTAGTGGAGTTACAGTAGCAAAAGATGATCTCCTTGCTCTGGTATTTTAAAAGTCTTGGGTATTTCAACTGCTGATGAAATAAATTTTTAGCCATTAATACACAGAAACACAGATTCACTTACAGTGCTTTTTAAAATGGCATTTGAGAAAAAAAATCATATTATCTAATTAAAATCATGAATATTATTTAGTGTTCTATTGAAAACTAACTGTATTACATTGAACAACATAACAAAACCATTAAATCCAAACATAACTATATAAAAAGCAGAATATAACTGATTATTCACATTAGACTTGAGGAACACATCTTTTTAATTGACAGGCAGAATAAATGAATGAAATGAATAAAGATCTCATATTATAATAAACCAAAGCAAAAAATAATCTAATAATCATTTTAATCTGGCTTTAAGTTACTATGTATAATCATCGTTCAAATGTTTTGTTCCTTTAAAGTTGTTTGAGTGGGTTTTCTTTATTACTCAGCTGGTAGCTGTCTGGATAGCAAAAAGAAGGCAATTTATGATTAAAAATTTTCTTCAGAGTAAGAGAATCACAACAGAAATTGAGAATTGAAAATATTTCAATCTCGTATAGTAAGACTTATCCATATTAAAGTGTATATTTGAATATATGTGAATTTTAAAAATTCACATGTAAATGCTATTGCTCATTGATGACCAAAATATTTCTGATAGCAAAATCATGAAATATAGATTATTTCAATTAGGCAAAAATGTTTAATCATTGCCTAAATGCTTCTTACTACTATTAATGACAAATCTACCATTTATCTGTAGGAATATATTGTCTATAATTTTTTCTTAGATTGAGTTATGACCACCTTATTTATCACATCTGCCTGGAGATTCATGTGCTTTCTTAGACCACTTTGGACATTAGCTAAATTAGTACATGAGGAGCCCTTGATCACACAAACCAGGGCCAATATTTCCATTGGCCTTATTGAGATCATCAGCCTTGATAAATAGGACTGGCTTTGATATTAATAATTCGTTAACATCTGTATGCAATTTTTAAGAGATGCAACAGAAATCTTATGATTTTAATAATATTATATACACACAAAGATATATAATTTTGCTGAAATCTATAAGAATCTAAAAAAATGAAATCTTTTCTCTATCTACAGTTGCATTAATCTTGTATATTTCTATAGAGATGTCTTGTAAAAACATATGGTTCAAGCTTAGGAGTAAGACAATTAATTATTGTAGTCTCAGGTAAAACAAAAATAGACAAAAATATTCTCTAGGAATGTTTCAAGTTTCTGATATTTACTTATTGCATATATGATACTTTACAAAAATATACTTCCTTTACACTAAACTAGAATGACATTTGGAGCTGATTAAGTAACACAATTTATGTCAAACAGCACCCCCAAAATGATTGAGCTTAAAATACAAAAAAAGCAATTGTGAGGATTATAGTAGTTAATCATTTTAGGCTTCTTTTTGAAGAATCATCTTCATTTAAAACAGAAAACAAATGCTCTTTTTACTGTTTAGTATTCATGATGTTCTACTGAGTTTATTGTTTAGAATAGATGTTAGACTACAAATGCCACCTTCTGATTTTGTCCTTTCCTCATAGTGTGGTCTTTCTCTTCTGAGTGTACAACAGAACTCCTTTCAGTATTCTATTTATGATTTTGTTAAGCAGATTTGTGCTTTTATAATGTGTATAATGGCATACCGAACTTTTGGAAAATCCACGTAAAGTAAACAATCTTATTTATTGTTAACATTCAACTAGTCTATTTTGCAGGTATTTTGCAGTAGTCACAAAACAGGAAATTTTCAAATTTTTAAGACTACCTACTTGATTAGCCCATGATTTTATTTCTATAGAATAGAACTTATAAACCCTTTCTGCATTAGACTGAGCTTCAAGCATTCAATAAAACACATTGAGTGTGTCCAAGATTAAATCATACATTGTTTAAAATTAATTATTCCTTTTTAATTGCATTGTATAAACAGAAATGACCTGTTAATTTAAAGAAAATCTATCAGCACAAAATGAATTCACTCATATAAACAAGCAAGATGAACTTGACCTTGTTTGAACTTGTTTTGATGTGGCCCAGATGGTAGGCTACATGCTTGAATAGCAGGCTAAAGCTGAGGAAAACTCATATAGCAAGATCTAGATTTATAGCCTTTTGCAAATTCCTACCTTGTATTGTCCTTTCAGCATCTGTTCTGCCGCCACTGCGGTCAGCTTCTATCTCTGGGGTCAGAGAGTCTAAAAGCACAGAAAGGTAAGAGTGACACATATTTCATTTGATTCCTGTTGTCCTTTAAGAAAGAGTAACCTGTTACTCTGGTGCTGAATTAAACTCACATAAGTCTCTGTCACCTTTTAAAGGTTGAACAAAGACTATAACCATAAGGATTATCAAAAAATTTGAAAAGATAATGAGAAATCGTTCATAAAATAGGTTGGGGTTTAGGAAGTTCTCAGATGAATATTTTACTTTGATTCGGTACAGATAGATTTGTTTAGACAGAGAAGCAATGTCAAGTCTCAGATACTGAAGTTAAGTAAGAAACGGTAGAATACATTTCCCTCAATATACGTGATTATTCTTTGCACCATGCTGTCAGCTACAAGCACGTTTTAATGAATGACAAGACAGAGAAATATACAAAACCAGAAACACATGTCTAAATTGCATTTGAGTATTCAAAATGAAAGTTAGTTAGCCATGCATAAAGATACACTCTCTTACCATTTAAGACCCTGAGACTATCTGTTGAAGCTGCCTGTTTTAGTGTTTGTTCTGCTTGCTCACGTCGTTTTGTCTCAAATTCAAGTGCTTCCTGCAATTTTCTCTTTGCCTTCTTCTCCTTCTTTAGCCTCTTTTGAACTATGGCTAGAAAACAGTGTACATTATTTTTTCTAAAAGTTTTGCAGTGTTTAAACTTATAAAAGTTCTATCTTGCTTATATTTTTTTCCTGCTGGAGAAAGTTCCAAAAACACCACCTTTACCTAAAATAAATCCCAGTAAAATATCCAAGGAGGTCAAATATTATTTAGCCTTGAACTATATTACATTATAAGAATGTCTTTAATTGTCATATGTAGAGACAGATTTAATGGGAAACTAATTTTAGTAAATATTTGAATTCACTGATAAAGGAAGCCTAATTAAATGAATGTTGTGGCTTAGTCTCTGCCCTTGAATCAGAACAGTGCAGAGTAGTTAGAATAGTGCAAACCTTTATAACTATCCTCCTCTCTCTTTACAAAGCACCAATTTTGAGTAGCAAATGGAGTATTCCCCTATAAATGTTTTATAAAACAATGTTATGCCATCTAAATTTTTAATAATTCTTTCTTGAAATTTTAAAAAAATATTATAAATATTATTGTATATGACAAGCTAAATATTCTTAATCATTGTTAACAGATATAAGCAGAAATATTTTAGATGAAGCTATTATAATTTACTCAGAGACATTAATTTTCTTATAGGAAATTTATATATACTAATACATTTGAAGAAGGTTTTGTTTTTGTTCTTCAGGAATCTGGTAGAATATGAAATCTCACTACTAATAATAATATGCTACTACTAACAATAATGTGATATTATATTAAAAAGTAGATTATGATCCAAAAAGTTGATTATGATCCATTTTTTTTCCTACAGGACAATTTAAATATTTATATACAATATGTAATCAATAAATAATAAATATATGTTCTTCATAAATGTATGTTAAGTATATTTTCAGTATGATAATTGTTTTAACTTTTACAATATATATATAAGGCAAGCAATCAGCATATGGGAAGCATTCAAATGTTTTTCTTGGAAATATTTTTTTGATTGATAAATATTGTGGACTTGAATGTGACAGAATCAGTATGAGAAAATCCTTCTGGTAGAGTTAGTCATAGGAGTAATCATTCCAAGTTTACTATTTGATTTCTTACTACAGATTAAAGAACAACATTTTAATTTAACATAGTATTTAGTCCAAATATAAAATAAGGTAAGAAAGAGTTCAAGAAAAAGTTTTAGCCTCAATTTCTAATTTCCACGTATTCATTCCATTTTTATAATTATTAATATTGTTAAGATGGCAGACCATTAACTTGTTGAGTATATTGTTACTATCATATATTAACAGAAACTTTTTTCTAATCAAATGTACATTGGCTATAGTCTCAGAGAAAAAACAAAACTGATTTCAAATAAATGCTAATTTCTTTATTTTAATAGTGAAAACCATAGGCTTATTTTAACAAAATTACTTGTCTACTTTCTCTTTCCAAAGATGACTTTTTATAAGTCTCTTTGAAAAGAAACAGTAAATTCTGAATTATTTATTTGTATTGTATACTCCCACGGCACTAAATGCTCAATACCCAGTGCCTTGCCATTGACCACTTGCTGTTTCCTCCTATGCGATTGAACCAAATGGGATTGCCAAGTTCTCTCTTCAGGATAATACACTGCTTCAATAGATGCACTCATAATAGATAATTATTGACAGTTATTACCTTTAATTTATTGTTCATAATTAATTAAACTGGAGGTTCATGGGGTGGTTTGTGAATTGTTTTGCCCTCTAGTGGTTAAAGAAATAAAACAATGTAAATTCTCCCAACAGGTTTGAACCAATAAAATTCTGAAGGTCTCTCAAGTAACCAAAAGCTTTTCTTTAGGAATTCAAGGGTCCGACTTTGAATTTTGTTAAAAAAAGAAAAAAAAAAAGAATTTTCCAGGTAATAAGAAAATCAAGACACAGCTATTTCATGGAATATAGTTCCATATAATGAACTCTTTCACAAAATTTCACTATTCAGATAGAACATAACTCATTATCAGTGATTACCTTATTTTGATTATTTTAGTATCTAGATCTATGTGAAGTCACACTGTTTAGAACTGTGCTATATGCCTGGGGTGACAGCTTCCCAAATCGACCTCATCCCAGGAACCTACTAGTTATTTCCTTATAGAAACTAATAAAAAATATTACTAAATCCTTCCAGTTTTAAAAGCAAAAAAGAAACAATGATTTATAAATGACCATGTCAAACATATAAAAGGAGAATATGTGGAATATTTATATATTGGATACTTATTAAATGAGACAAAAGGAGCTACCCTTCTAAATACATAGGAGAATCTTATAGTTGAGGCAAGGGGAAATTGGTTGTATAGAAAACACTTTTCAATTCTATACATAAAATAAACACAAATATAAATGACCTTCAAAATTATCTATATATACACTGTAAGGTGCTAAAATAAGCAACTAATAGATTGATACCATTGTTTTTACCTAATAAAAATTCATATCGGTTTCTACTCTAGTGTGTACTTGACCTTGTTCCATGAAAATGAGGCACTCAGAAAAAAAATATACAAACTCTCAACTTTGGTCATTTGTTCAGATATTCATCAGTCTTCAGTTTCAGTTGATAAATATCTTACTAAGCTTTCTTTGCTTGAATAATTGGTGTTTTCTATTTTAGCTTTATGACTTTAACACTTGTTTTTCAAAATTGTGAATGAATATAAAATCGTGAATGAATATAAAATTTTTCTTTATAGTTGTCATCCTATCAGAGCTAATTCTATCTTAAAGTTATAAGTCCATTATATTTTATAAGCAATATTGGATATACTTCAATATCTTTAGGTTAGAACAGAAGAGAAACTATGTAGTTTGGAGATTAAGAAATACAATGAGCCTTGGACTTAAATCCTGCTCTGAATTTTAACTACAAGTAAAAACAAAAAGCACAGGTTCATAGTAAATCATCAATCATAGTATTGTTATATTAAGTATTTTACATGAAGTATTAAACTTATTTAAAAGTTTGAAAATACCTCTATTTTTTTGTTCCATAGCCAACTGCTTCTCAAGTGTTTCCCTTAGCTCTCGTTCCCTTAAAAAATCCATCTTCAGCTCTGTTTTTTCCAGTTGGACCTGTTTTTCTTGAGCTCTGGCATTATCTATGGCAACTTTCAAGAGGCCCTGTACAAAGAAGGCATTCGGAATTGTAATATTTTGTTATGAAGCACATTTCATTCATTACTTAAAAGTATTTTAAAAGAGAAGAAACCACATATCAAATTCTTTCATTCTTGTGCATTCATTTTGTACGCACTAGGACAAAGAACTATAATGAAAGCACAAAATTTCCAAATCTAATTAAAATATTTTAGGAAGACAAATATTTTTGGCATCGGGTTCAGCTGCCCCTAATTAGAATATCTAAATCTAAAGCTAAATGAGGGCAGCACATAAGCGTGTCTAAAAAATAAGAACTAAGTTGAAAATTAGACTGAATCTCTTTCACAACTAATTATCTGACATGGTTTATGATACCCCAAATAATCCTGGCAGTACTCACCAATCTCGTGGAGCTCATATGCCAACATGCCCTACCTAGATTAGACTAGACACAGTGGACTTCTTTACATTTCTCAAGCCATCAATTTGTTTCTGCATTAGGGACTTTGCTCTTTCTGTTATCCTCCTGAATGCTTTCTCTCCCAATTTGTATATGCCTCATGCCCTCATTTCATGTCACTTTTGTTTAGTCACCACTCAAGAAAGGATCTCTCTTACCACCCTATCTGGAATAGCCCTCCAAACCAACCTTGTTATTCCCTCCTTAAAATTATTCATAGCATTTATTATTTTGTAATACTGTCATATGTTTATTTGTTTATTGCTTTATGTTGTGTTTCCTACACTAAAATGGAAGCTCTGTGAGGCAGGGACATTTTCTCTCATTTGGTACTATGTCCCCAGGACCCAAAGAGTGCCCACCACATAGTAAATTTTAAAAATTTCTTGAATAAAAATTATAATACTGGTAGATTTTTCTTGAGATATATAATATATGTAAGGAATCTAAAACTTAATGGCTCAATAGTGCATTATTTTTAAAAATTCAATTCAAAATTATTATGATAGCAAATAACTAACTCTTAGGGGACTATTTGTCAGTGTAATAATTCAAGAGCATATGGCAAAGGCAAAGTTTATTTATACAATTGATCATGGCATCTTTCATATATATAATTGGATCTCCTGTATTTTTTTAAATTTAGTAGTATTCTGAGATTTTTAAAAATGAAATTATGAGACTATATAAAACACACACGAGGATTCTGTATGTATTTCTCTCCTAGGATGCTTTAGAAAATTATCAGTAAAATTATTAGTAAAAATAAGAGCTTAAATTTCTATCCTTATCAACTCAGGAATACAAAATGCTCTTCTGAAGTAAAAGATATGTTGCTTTGGTCTGTGAACATTAGAGACTGAAATTTTCAATTGAAATTATAAATGAAATGGAAGTTGGTGCTATTTGCAGATACTCTCCAGGATGTGACTCCTTTGCAGGAGACAACATAAGCAGTTTGAATCAACAATTTCAACTGCAGCTTGACTTGTTAGCACAAAAGAGATGTACCCTTGGTTCAGCCCACAAATGTAGCATTGTCGTAAGCCATTTTTATTCTCTTCTCATGCACATATAAATTATTTCATGTTTGTTAGACCTGACCCTGAATTCCCTGGATTAATTCTTGTGATATGAAACAAGCTGGAGGAGTTTTACCCAGCAGTGTGCCCCTCCCTAATCTTTTGTTTTTAACAATAAAACATAGCTGCTAAGGAAACTGCCATCCTCACTCAATTCAGTAACATTCCTGTGTGTGTTTTTTCTTCATCAGGAACAAACAATTAGTAACAAATGAAAGAGATCATTACATCAAGTGCCCTTTTAGATCACCCCAATTAAAACTTTAGTTTAGCTGTATTTTAATTCTAAGATACCAAATTCTAATTTTCTGCTCTGATTGCTCTTGTTGACTTATCTTTGAAAGATGTACTCTCTGTGCAATGTCTAGAGATTATTTAGCAAGATGCCAATGTTGGCACCACTTAATGTGTTGATTGGTTGTATTATCAGTAGCTGTTTAAAATAAATTACTATTAAACTATTATTGTCCTTGGCTGACAAAACACAATATTTTGGTGTTCTTTAAATATGAAACAATCATTATGAATAAACATGTTGAATAACATTAAACTATAACCCTAATTTGTGTTATTTTATATTAATATTTGTTGTAAAGTATGAAGTTGCTAAGAGCATTTGTTTACTCTTTCCTTTTGTTACAGTTGCTGCTAATGCTGCTAATGGTAATACA